GGCCGGCGCCGGCCGCAGCTGGCCGCAGGGGATTTGCTTTCTTCCCGCACCGCGGGCAGCCCCTGCCTTAGTTAGCGCTTTTGCTCCCCAATATTTGCACAAGAAATCCCGTGCTGGCTCGGGTTGGATCAGCACTTCCTCTCGGCCTCGCGGCTTGTTGCCCTGCACCCAGGACTTTGCCTTTGGGCCTGTTCACAAACCGTAGAAAAGTTGGATTTAACGTAACTGGACTCCTGGGGCTTAAATGTACGGAGGTTTAGAAGCCCTTGTCTCCGTGCGCCTCCCCTTCCTCATTCTTTCCACCCCCTCTTCTAGATTAGGATTAGTATTAGTTCTTCTAATACTTCTCTGGCTCCTTGTGGAGCCTTTTCCTGCAGTTCTTATTTATTGTAACAGGGAGGGCAATGGAGCCACGTACAGGTATCTAACTCAGGTGAAGATCATTTTATCGCCTGACAGTTGTAAGTACCAGAATCCCATTTTAGTTAAGATCTGGAGATATTTAAAGGGCTAATCTTGCACTGAGCAACAAAGAGTGTGTCAACTTATTTCTGAAGGTCTCAAACCTGCATTTGCTTAGTAAATCAGTTCATAGTTGTTTTTTTGTCTTGAATGTTCCTTGTTTTCCGCAAGCGACCAGACATTAGGTTTTCGTTGTTAAAGAACAACTTTATTGAGATACGGTTCACATAATAGGCAGTATACCTATTTAAAAGTACAATTAAACGATGTTCTGTTTGTATCAACATATGTCATGTTCCGAGCGTTACGCAGACATCACTTTAGAAAGAATCCCTGTGTCCGTTAGCAGTTGCTTCCTCTTATCTCATTTCCCCCTACCTCAGCCTTAGGCAAGTAGTCTGTAGATAACCTGTCTCTTGTAGGTCTGTCTACTGTGGACATAGCATGTAGCGTGGCCCTTTGTGACTGGCTTCTTTCATTTAGTATGTTTGCAAGTTTAATCGAGGTAGCATGTATCATGAATGTACTTCATTCATTGTGTGTATGGATTGAGGTGTATATTTATATGTATTTATACATACACCGTTTTATTTATCCATTCCTCAGTGATAGGCATTTGTTGTTTCCATTTTTTAGCCATTATGAATAATGCTGCTGTGAGCATTTTTGTGCATGTTTTTCGGTGGACATGTGTCTACATTTTTTTTAGAGAACGGAATTCCTGGGTCATATGGTTCAACTCTGTTTAACATTTGAGGAACTGCCAAAGTACACGATTTTATAATTCCACTAGCAGTGTCTGAGGGTTCCAATTTCTCTACATGCTGCACAACACTTGTTACCTGTCTTTATTACAGTGGATGGGAGAGTTAGTATCTCATTATCTCATTGTGTTGGTTTTGATTTGCTTTTTTCTAGTGGCTAATGATGTTGAGTTCCTTTTAATGTACTTACTGGCAATTTAATATCTTCCTTGGAGAAATGTCTGCTTACATTTGTTGCCCTTTTATAAATTGGGTTTTTTTTTTATTATTAATAAGTTGTAGAAATAGTCTCTAATACTTGACTTTGATTTTGTAACTTCTTTTTCCCCTCACATTCTATGGGTTGTCTTCACTTTCTTGATAGTGTCCTTTGAAGCACAAGAAGTTTTAAAGTTTGATGAAGTTTATCAGATTTTTGTTATCACTGATGCTTGTTGTAGTTAAGAACTCCTAAGCCAAAGTCATAGATGTACTCCTGTGTTTTCTTCTACAAGTTTTATAATTTTAGCTCTTACATTTAGATCTGTGATCTAATGTATATAGTATAAGAAACTGATTTAGACTCATTGTTTTGCATATAAACATCTAGTTGTCTCAGCACCATTTGTTGAAAACATGCTTTTTTCCCCCTCCACTGAATAACTTTGGCTCCTTGGTCAAAGATCAATTAACCACAGCTGTATAGAATTTATTTCTGGATTTTCATTTGTAGTCCTTTGTCAGTCCTTATGCTAGTACCAGTGTTTTGATTACGATCACTTTGTAATAATTTTGGAATTGGGAATAATCTTTTCAAGATTATTTTAACCATTCCTGGTCTCATGAATTTCTATTTGAATTTAGAATTAACCGAACAGTTTCAGATTTTAGGCTTTACAATGCAAGTTTATAAAACTGTTATAAAAATAACTTAAGTACTGACATTCTTACATTTTGCATATTTCTTGATGCATGAATTTTTTTAAACATTTATTTTTATTCACGCATGCAAGAACTGCGGTGTAGGCCAAGAGGTGTTTGGGATGGGGTGTTCAAGGATTCACCAGAGACAGCAGGGAGCAGAAGAGGCAGATCCACTGAAATACCAAGGAGAGCACCAGGCTAGACTTGAGAGGCTTTCTGCACCATGTGGTCCAGCTCCCTGGTAGGGGACCAACCCCTGTCGCAGTGGCTGGTGATAGCTTGATAGAGCTGAGACTCTAACCCCTGTGCCGCCAGGGAGGCCCCCTGATGCATGAATGTTTTTGAAGTTTGCTGATTTTTGAAATTGTACATTAACATTTTCTTTTATTTAAATTTTTTTTCATTTTCAAATTAACATTTTAAAGTCAGCTTTTGTTTTCTGTTCATTGAGCTTTGAAAATGGTATTGTTTGGCTACTATGAATAATTGCTTCTATGAAGATTTTTGTACACATTTTTGTGTTTTCCTTGTTTGTTATTTTTAAATAGCGGAATAGAAAAAATTTGGGTGTCTGAAATTTAGAAAATTACAAGTCCGATTGATTTATCTTTCAGTCTTTAAAGTCTTCTACGATTGAGTACAAATAGTTAAGAAATACTATGTTTTATTTTACTTCCAAGCCTGAAATTGGGGTGGAAATTTCTAAATTGGAGCTTAAAAATTTTAGCTCCAAGGGAGCAGTAAAGGAACTAGGAAACTCTAGTAACTAAATAACATCTGAGAATTTGATAGTTGTTTTTCTGTTTAAAGAAAAACTAATTATTTCAGGATCATTCAGAAAATAATTTCTTAAATAGAGAACTGGAATATTAATTTCACTTTTCTTCCCCAGTGTTTAAAGTGGCACTGTCAAAACAGAACAAAACTTGTCCAAGTGAGGTAATGGAAACCTTTTAAGTTTTAAGTTTCTAACTAAACAACCTATTAATTGTTTTTCTCCCTGTATGTAAAAAGACAAAACCTTTTGTTGTGGCATTTTGCTAGAGGAAAGTTTGAATCATTCAGACTCTCTTCAAATTCTTTTGAAAACATCCTGTCTTTTTCTTTACAGTTTTTCTTAGTTCAATCTATATGTAACATTACAAATGCCTTTATTTAATACTACACTTTGAAGAGAAAAAATGAATTCAGAACTTCCTGCACAGCAGGTGTTTTGTTGCTGATAAGTCAGCTTTTGCCACGTAGTGTCATTGATAATAAAGTTAAAAATATTTTACATTTCTAGTAAAATTGAACAGCAGAAACAATTTTGGTAACAGAAATCCCCACCATTGCTTTCCGTATATGAAAACTTGCTCACCTTCCAAATGATTATGTAACTTTATAAAAGGTATGGACAGATATATGTGAGGAAGTTTTGTCTGTACCCTACGCTTCCTTAAAAGGGTTTACTACTAGTGTAAAACATGCATGCGATTATCTGTGTCACATTGCACTACAGTAATTTAAATGACCATAGTTTCATATAAGACAATATTAAATCTGGAATTAAAATTTTTTTTTAAGGACTGCACTTACAGGTGATGATTATTTATGGGGAGAAAATAATTAAGCATAATATGCTTGATTTAAACATTTTATAAACCTACTTTTAAAAAGATTTATTTATTTATGCATACAAGAACTGGGGAACAGGTCAGAGATGCTGAGGGTGAGAGGGTTCACCACAGAGATAGAATGGGGAGCAGAACAGGTGGGTCTACTGGAATACACTGCAGAGGGGAGCAGTAGGTGAGACTGGAGAGGTCTGCTACACTATGTGAGTCAGTATCCTGGCTATGGATTGAACTTTTGCTGCTGTGGCGGCAGATAGCTTCATAGTGGTAAGACTTACCCCGTGCACCACTAGGGTGGCCCCCTTAAACTTCATTTTTTATAATAATCCCAATCTATATAACATGGGAAATAGTCTCCGAAGTAGACCAAGTAGTATTCTTTAAAAAAAGAAAAGTCTGTTTTCATTTTATTTATTTTTAAAGATTTATTTATTTACGCATACAAGAATTGGGGTACAGGTCAGACGTGTGGGGGTTGGAGGGGGTGTTGAGAAGATTCACCAGAAACAGTGGGAAGCCGAACAGGCAAATCTGTTGAAATACACTGTTGCGGGGAGCAGTGAGTGAGATAGGAGAAGTCTGCTACGCCATGCAGGTCACCTCCCTGGCTAGGGATTGAGCTGTAGTGGTTGTGGAAAGCTTCATAGTGTGTGCTTTAACCCATTTCACCTCTAGGGAAATCTTAATATACCGGTTCTCATTTTAATATACCTTTTAAACATTGAGACAAAGAAATAAGTTAGGAGAAAGGAATTTTGAATCTCAGAAAGTACCAAAAGTCTAAATTTGCTTAGAAAACTTTGTGATGAGTGAATAATGATAGAGGAAACTT